CTGGGCCGGGTTGTTCGAAAAGGGGTTGACTTTAATCCTGGTTTAAAAGTTAACCTTAGATGTAATTTCTCATGTAGAAGAGCGTGTACAGGAGCCAAGGTTTTGTTGGGTTTTATCTCAGTATGACTCAAAACTAACAGGGAAAAATGCAAACAAATAAATCCCTTTGCAGGGCTATAAAACTGAATTGAAAATTCACACTAACTTCGTGTTAGGTAAAGCGTGTTTTGAAAAACCAGGCCCTGTATAATAATGTTTAAGTTTTTACCTTTCCTTCCGCGCTTATGAAGTCTTTTCTGCATCCACCCTCCCTTGTTTGGGATTGATTTGCCGCAAAAAATATGTATATAGTAACCAAAATGGCTTCGAGTACACAATGAAAGTAGGTGGCGGTAAGAAGGAAGTAAGAAATGAAATCCGAAGACGAGACTGACAGGGTTAATAACATATCTTAATTATACTCCTCTCAAGAACCAGAACCCTTCAAACACTATTTTATCAACAAAAGGCTGGGAAAAGGGACAAAAATTCCCTTATATATCATCTAAATCATTTACTAAATGATTAACCATTATCGAATTTCGTTTTACGTGAACAGTTTTTAACCGCTGGGCTTAGTATTTTTCTTAACTTTCTTAACAATGTTCTATCTCTTATTCAATTACTTTACTAACATTTCTGTCTTTGTTTGTGTTAAAATTGTTGTTGTTGTCTCCGGTCATCGCATTGAAGCAAGCCTTGGAATTACACAATGCGTATGTAAATTAGTTTAGTCACCTGCTGTGTTATAAGAACCAAGGATCAACCGGTACTTGTCATGTTCACTCCCGACACCAAAAGAGCTGTATTCGGCATAAGCACTTCTCCCTTCGAAGTCCGCCATGTCTACTCGTAACATGCTGTTATTATCTGAAGTCAGGCGATAAATCCTGTCCAAGCCAAGCCAAAACTCGCCTCCAAGATTTCCGAAGCCACGCTTATAATCGCTCCAGTTGAGGTTGAAGTCAACGGAACCGTCGATTCTTTTCTGGAATACCGTCCATCCTCCACCGGCTGTTGTTTGGTCGCAGAAGACATCAAAAGCTGATCGGTCGTCAGGTTTGATGACGTAAACACCGTCTCGTGTTTGGCCTGATTTAAAAATGTCAGCGCAATTTCTGAAAGCTAGAATAAAAATCTAAAAAATTAAATTTAAAAAAAGACTGATCGCTTAGAATATGCAGCAAACAACAAGGTACTGACTGGATTAGAACAGCATCTTTACTGATGAGAGCAATAAAAAAAATTGGTAAATTCAGACACAGAAGTGTTTTCCAAACGATATCGATTCCATATCAAAATAAGAAACTTAGGCAAGAAAGGAGACACACATCACTTGAGATAAAATAATTAAATGGAATATATATGAAATGATCTAGGCTTCGCTCTAACGCAGTGCTAACACACGAAACGTCAGCTTTAAATTCAGTTAATAATACTTTATCACCTTGTCATACTCTCCCACCGACGCGGCACCACAGTTTCTTTAAAAACTTACCTCCTTTATTCACAAGGTTTCAGAGGGTTTATGCTGCAATTTTTGACCATATCATCACCTTTACAATACCTTGGCAAACTTCTCCTCCGCTGAATTCTTCTGGACAGATACACCGAAAACCTTTACTTGTGAAACCAGCTTGGCA